GTAGCAGCTGTCTAACTCCCAGGTACCTATTTACTGCTATGAGAACAGTAGCATCATGGGTGAAAAAATAACTCTGCCCATTTTTGTTTCCGCCTCCACCGGGGACCGAACCCGGAACCTCAGGACTACGAATAAGAAGTGCTGTCCACTCAGCTGTCAGGTCCCTCTTCACTACCTTACAGTGTATATACCTGACAATTCGTACCTAACAGTGAGTACGTGTTGGTGTGCGATGAACTGTTAGAACAATACTGTACCTTATGAACAAATCCACAAGGGTCGTGATGAGGGTTCGAACCTACGTCCGGGATGATCCCAGACTCACCTTAGTCTGGGATGCAGGCGATGAGTCACAATAACGTGGCTAAAGTATGTTGACCAGACCACACACTAGAAGGTGAAGGGACGACGACGTTCCGGTCCGTCCTGGACCATTCTCAAGTCGACTTGAGAATGGTCCAGGACGGACCGAAACGTCGTCGTCCCTTCACCTTCTAGTGTGTGGTCTGGTCAACTTAGTCTGGGATATTGTAGCTTGTTCTGAAGCGAGCATCATAACACGTCAGTTTGGACATGTTCTGTCAGAGCTCATAAGAACATAAGAACATAAGAACAAAGGCAACTGCAGAAGGCCTGTTGGCCCATACGAGGCAGCTCCTATTTATAACCACCCAATCCCACTCATATACTTGTCCAACCCGTGCTTGAAACAATCGAGGGACCCCACCTCCACAATGTTACGCGGCAATTGGTTCCACAAATCAACAACCCTGTTACTGAACCAGTATTTACCCAAGTCTTTCCTAAATCTAAACTTATCCAATTTATACCCATTGTTTCGTGTTCTGTCTTGTGTTGATACTTTTAATACCCTATTAAAAGTATCATGACTGCGTTCCAAAGAAAATAGTATCCTGGATCCAAGACTAAATGGCATTATCTGTGCTTATTCCTATTACCATCTCCTTCGGTGGTTATAATAGGAGCTGCCTCGTGTGGGCCAATAGGCCTGCTGCAGTTCTCATTACTACTATCCCCTACACCTGACTTTCCTCCTCATCTCTCTCTTGCCTATTTAATTCCTGTCCCTACCTGTCCTCATCACAATCGACTTGAGAATGGTCCAGGACGGACCGAAACGTCGTCGTCTCTTCAATTTCTAGTGTGTGGTCTGGTCATCATTATCTGTGCTGCTTACCTACTTAAAATTTAAAACATTCGCAGCAAAAATAGCTTAAAAAAAATAAAACTCTTTCTATAAATATCGAAACCTGGATGGATGTTTGAAACAATCCATACCCACCAACAAAAATTTAAGATTGTTTAGTGTAGGAGGACCAGACAATAGTTCTAGGATACCAAAAGGGAAGGGAGCCATCAGGAGGGAAAGCGCCAAGCCATTACGACTATACAGCACGGGGAAATGGTCAGGATAAGGATTTGGGAAGGAAAGAAGGGGGGGGGGGAGGAATGGTGCCCAACCACTTGTACCACGTATATCCACTTACGAAATATTATTATTATTATATATATATATATATATATATATATATATATATATATATATATATATATATATATATATATATATATATATATATATATATATATGCGGAAAATCCACAGAGAAATATGAAAATGAAATGATCAGTGTTTTGTGATCGTCAATTGCATATATATATATATATATATATATATATATATATATATATATATATATATATATATATATATATATATATATATACATATATGTGTATATCACGAAAATAAACACGTGATTAAGAATGTGACAATGTCAGACCACGGAGGAAAATGAAACAGGAATTTCCTTAAGTACTTTCGTATATTAAATACATCTTCAGAAGGAATCTGATTCCTTCTGAAGATGTATTTAATATTCGAAAGTACTTAAGGAAATTCCTGTTTCATTTTCCTCCGTGGTCTGACATTGTCATATATATATATAATTATATATATATATATATATATATGTTGGTCTCGGTTAATGCCTCACTCATCTCTTATTCATCTGTTTGTCTCTGTTCTTGCTTCACTTTCATCTCTCGTACACCAGTTGGCCTTCGTTATCATTTCAGTGTGTGCAAGAAAATTTCTAAAATATAATTAGACAATCATGTCAAATTTGTAGTCGTTTCGACACCCGGTACCAACCACTTGGAGTGGACGGTAGAGCGAAACCCGCGTCATGGAGGTCTGCGTTCAATCCCCGACCGTTCAAGTGGTTGGGCACCATTCCTTCCCCCCCCCCGTCCCATCCCAAATCCTTATCCTGACCCCTTTCCAAGTGCTATATAGTCGTAATGGCTTGGCGCTTTTCCCCTGAGAATTCCCTTCCCTTCGACACCCGGTACCACCACCTCCTCCATCGGAGCGGTGGATCACCCTCGAGCTCTCTTGGGCCCAACGAAGTAAGGCAAGTCGTGACTACCTCAAGGGCGACCTTCAGGTGTCCACAGTATTATCAATGCACGGAAAACGTGACGCCAGTCATTTTAATAACGTGAGTCTTGTATGGAACCTCTTTCAAGGCGGAGATAGACGAGGAGTCACAATAATGTGGCTAAAGTATGATGACCAGACCACACACTAGAAGGTCTAAGGACGACGACGTTTCGGTCTCAAGTCGATCGACTTGAGAATGGTCCAGGACGGACCGAAACGTCGTCGTCCCTTCACCTTCTAGTGTGTGGTCTGGTCATCAAGTCAGAGATAAAAAACAATTTAGCTATTGATTTGTTTTCATATATGTTGTCTCTCTCATTAAATGTGTTTTCTTTACAACAGGCAAGAAAAATCAAGTTTAAGGCAAATATGCAATCAAAACCAAATAAATATTATTTTGCAAAATATAGATGTGGTTTAAAAAAACCTAAATATGAAATTAAGTATTATTTAAAGAACCAAGTTTAAGGAACATCTTAAGTTGTAAATATTGCACAACTTTCTTCGCGAAAAGTTAGGCCTGGATATAAAAAAAAAGCCTTGAAGAATAATGTTTTATACTTAAAGTCTCTTTATAAGTGATCCAGAAAAAGAAATAGTTAAGAGACACTTGGAACAGCGTCATGATGTACAGCAGCTTTTGTGATGTCAATTCGTGACTTCATTCGATGCCGATTTACGGGCTATTCATGCCCGTGCCACCTCTTGGGTGGTTTAATCTTTATCAGTCAATCATTCGATGCCGCGGTTCGTAGAGCGTTACACAGAACTGGTTCGTAGAGCGTTGCATAGAACTGGTTCTCCTCCATCCATGAACCAATATGGCATCTCCTGATCAACATCTGTGACATTCCCTCTGGTCCTCGACACAGCTAGATCTTCATTGTGCCTTAGCGTCCAAAGACGCCCTTTAATATCAGTATCCAGTCGCACTGGGTTACTGGAGTTATCGTCTACCTTCATGTAACTGTCTGAAAGCCTTAGAGGAACTGGCATGCATGCACAGGCGTCCCACTATGTCTCCTCTGTCATACCATAATCACTCCATACCACATTCAGTACCATTCATACACTCACCCATAAACGCTTCCACTGCCATCATACTCTGAGAGATCCTAATTAAATTATGCACATTTATTTGGGGTCACAATAAAATTAGTTCTGGATAAATTAGGATTAGACCATCACATGGTTAAAGACAGAGTTCGGAAGCCAGTTTGAATACCTGCAGAAACAATTATAGAAGTCAACTTAATGTTAAGTTTCAGGCAGAGGATGGATAAAGTTTCAGGAGTAGAGGTAAACAGAAGCTAGGCCACTTGAGCCTTGCGGCTGCCTCTACTCATGTTTGATATACACAGTGAATAAATTGCAGATAGTACGAATGTTGGATAACTGAAATCGTTTATTACTCAAGAAAACATTACGTACAGCAGAAGACAGACATCTACAGTATTATGTTGTTTATTTATATTGTTTGTGTGAACGCGCTAACTTTGAAAATCGTTTCTGTGAACGCGCTAACTTTCCATTGGGCAAGAAACACGTGAAATACTGAAATCCAATATTGGTGATCCCGGAACAAGAGTGAGGGAGGTCAGTTGCTGAGCAGAGCGGGATGGAGGAGTCCGGAAGTGTCCTTGACCTTCCCATTAGAGAGCAGGTAGGCCTATATAAGGCCGCTGCCGCCACACGTCCAGACACTTCCACTCCTGTCAAGGTAGGTGTTGGAGGGTAACTGGAGCAGCACCAGCGGCCTCCTCACACTGCACTTCCCTAGTGTGTGTCAGTCTCTCACACTCGTATAGCTCCCCAGAGTGTCTCTCACACTCGTATATCTCCCAAGAGTGTCTCTCACACTCGTATAGCTCCCAAGAGTGTCTCTCACACTCGTATAGCTCCCAAGAGTGTCTCTCACACTCGTATAGCGCCCAAGAGTGTCTCTCACACTCGTATAGCTCCCAAGAGTGTCTCTCACACTCGTATAGCGCCCAAGAGTGTCTCTCACACTCGTATAGCTCCCAAGAGTGTCTCTCACACTACAGCTCCTCAGTGTGTCACTCTCACACTAATGGTAACTCACCTACCATTACAGAAGCTCATAATTCCTCCATTAAACTGCGTGTGTTGAGGCCTCGGGTGTAAAGGTGTCATGTGTTCTCAAGTACTCAGCAACTCCTGACTGTAAACCCTCTAAGACTGTAAACTCATCTCATGTAACTGGTATTATAAGCACCCAACGGAAAGTCTAAACTACCCAGCAACTGATGACACTCTGAGTCAGTGTGAACTTTAAATTATTCTGTTTCCGAATATACAAATATAAATTATTTATGAATTATTAATTGTTGGCGCCTACCTCAATAGGCCTACACCCCGGTGCAGCACACAATAATTTACAATAACTTGAACATTGTTCAGATAATAACAAAACATTAACTCGTAAACGACCAGAAACAACTGACGAAAGGTAATATTACAATCAGTTTTCCCCACAGAAAATTATACTCCAGAAGCTGGAGGAGTGAGACGAGTATTACCACACTAACTTTATTTTCCAGATGAAGTTCATATTGTTGTTGACTGTGGTCGGGCTGGCGGCCTGCCAGTTCCCGCCTCGGAGGCCGGGCTTCGGAGGCCAGCCGAAGAGGACAAGCAGCAAGAGCTTCTCTCAAAGTCGACCTGGAGCTCAGAGTTTGGGCGCCAAGGTAAGCTTTCTACCAAAACACTCTCCCTTAAGTTTATTGCCCCTATCTCTACCTCCTTACATTAACCTGAGATTTATACCATCATACAACGTTCTTCAAACTTTATTTTTGAAAACCAAGCCTAAGAAATTGTTTAAATGTAATGTTAAGATGAATGTGGCGGTGTTACAGGCTGACGACACTCGCGGCGGGAGTGAGTACTACTTCTCCTGGAGACACGACCCGCCCAAGACAGAGTACACAGGCGACGCTGCTCACAGGATGTGTACAAGTCTGGGCGGCGGGTGGCAGCCTGTGGCCATCAGCTCTCGTGACGAGCTCAACTACATCCATGGCATTATTGTCAGAGGTTAGCTGTTGTTGCTTTACCCTTATACTCCCTTGCTCTGATGACATTTACCCTGTATATGGCCACAGCTGTCATTTTCCCGTTATTATGCTTAAGCTGAGGCATGAAAATCGTCCCTCAAAGCATAAATTTAATACAATTATTCTGAAATATATCCATCCTTCCACTAGTACAATCGTCGCTAATGTTCGTCTCTCTAACTTTTGTGTTTTGTGTGAACAGAGCGGCTGGACTACATCTGGACCGGCGGGGTGAGGGCCGGCTCCGGCTTCAGGTGGTTCAACGGAGAACCTTTTGGTATTACTGCCTGGTCCAACACCGGAGGGTGAGTTGTGTACACACACACACACACACACACACACACACACACACATACACACACACGTACTCACACACACTCACACACACACATTCTGGATCCAAGAGTTAATGGTCGATCCTGCAGGCACAAATAGATGAGTACACACGCATGCACGCACGCACGCAACATCACATCAATCCTTGTGTATCGCAGCCATTTGTTTCACTGAAATATACTCCCTCAGCTTCTGCAACATGTGAGTATAACCAATATAATGAATAAGGAAGGGTTAAATAATGAAGAATGGTGCATGTTGCAGACTCCGCCGACCTCAGCCCGACAACCGTGAGAGTGGTAAGGAGAACTGCCTCGCCATCCTCAACAACTTCTACAAGGATGGCGTCGCATGGCACGACGTTGCCTGCCACCACGAGAAGCCCGTCATCTGCGAACGTTCCGTATAAATCCTCCCAACATTGCCATATGTGAGAGTCGTACACAAGGGCTCTCACTCGGACCCCGTCTCCCTGCGCCCCTGACAGTGAGAGTGCTTCATTCTCCTTTTAATTCTTTCTAGGTCATCATCATCTGGGCAATGTGTAAATGCCCAGATGTGGAAATGAACACAAAGAAGATGCGTCCTTCATCCTCTTTGATATTTATTCTTAAACTATTTTTCTCTTCAACTATCTACAATATATAATGCTGCCATCTTCCAGTAACTTAATATATTTATTCGAAAATGTTAATTTAGCAAAACAACTTGTCATTCTTGGCAAGATAAATACACATTGTGTAAGAGAGGCCGGTGCGTTTAATTTGCTCCTGTTTTATGCTAATGGCATGAGTAATGTGTGCGCTTAATCTCTACTGTTACCGTGAGTGTGTCTGTATATAATGTCGTTCCTTTAGACGCCACGACAGCTGCTTAGTTTAGTCACTTACTATGCACCCAATACCCATGCCGGAGGCGGTGCTGGAAACAGTTACAGAGAGGCATAATGGGTCCGGAACCTGAACCCCATAGTTCATTTAGCTAAGTGACAATGTTGTGAAGCCAGACATTACTGGGTCCATGTGTGCTTCAGCGTTTCTTTGTCAGGGGGAGAAAACCACACATCTGCAGGCGATGAGTCACAATAACGTGGCTGAAGTATGTTGACCAGACCACACACTAGAAGTTGAAGGGACGACGACGTTTCGACTTGAGAATGGTCCAGGACGGACCGAAACGTCGTCGTCCCTTCAACTTCTAGTGTGTGGTCTGGTCAACCACACACCCTTGCTGCAGGTAAATTCTGAGCTTCTCTTGGCTCTACCTCACTCACAGGAACAGTTGTAATACTATCCATTTAAGACTCAGTGGGACAAAACGATAAAAATGTCAGGCGTTCTTGAATTCTGGGTAGTCCACTCTGTAACTTGTGAATACAATACAGCAATATTATCTGCCTGTATGATATTATTAAATGGTGTCGGGTTTTCCGACACACTCACAGAGGCAACCCTCTCACCTCTCTTCTGATTGGTTGATGAATATTAAGCCTCCCAAGAGGTGGCACGGGCATGAATAGCCCGTGGTAGATTTTTTTGGAGTGAATGTGATCTTTACATATATGCACACACACACCTCTTCTGTTGTTGTTGTTATAGATTCAGCTACTGGGAATAAAAAATTACGGGCTCACCATAGCCCGTGCTACATGAACATTTCGTTCTGAGTGGTTAAATCTGAAACAATAACATGGGAACAAAAAGTTCCAAGTAGCACAGGCTATGGTGAGCCCGTAGTGGACTTACACCTGCATGGATATATACTGCTCCCTCTTCCTCTGAAGAAGAAACCCATAATCTAGGGCTGTCAATCACCCTAAATTGGATACCAAGTCACATTGGCACAGATGGTAATGAAAAGGCAGACTCACTAGCAAAAACTGCCACTGCTCTACCTGTTGTACAGGTTCAAATACCTCTAAGTTTTTCACGGATTAAGGAGCAAATCAAGAAAATACTCCCAACAATCAAAAGTCGCCACAGAGCCAAAGTAGCAGAAGGAAGATCCACTGCGATGTGATACGAACAAGCCACTGGGTACTATTCTTTCAAGTCTAACAAAAAGATATCCAGAGACATTGTAGTAGCCATACACAGACTCAGACTTGGTTACAAGTGCTGCTGGGAGGTAATAAACCCAATAGTTAAAGAGTGTCATATCTGTGGAACAGAAGCAGAGGCGCCACTATTGCGCTACTTACTGGAATGTGAAGCTACTGAAGCCCTGCGCATCAAACTCAACATTAATCCAACGACAACAGCTGCATTAGATGCACATTCCACAGCCACTACAATGATTAGAAAAGCTTTTGAAAATGGGACTCACTAGTGAACATTCTGCACCTACATCTGCCACCAAGATAATGTTATTAAAACAAGACTAAAACTAGTGCACTAAAACAGAAACGAAAAAGAAACAGGGAAAAAGGAGGAAACCCCACTTAAAACTTTGACCCAAATATCAGAGTAACAAGGTTGAAGATGCCAAAGATGTAATTTAGCGAAACATATTCTTTATTAACACGCATCAGTCCCCTTAAAAGTGTCAATTGAACTTCAGAGTTGAATTTTACACTTCACTTTGCCATGAAATACACATATTTACACTGCAATCCCAGTGGCTCTGTGGAAAGACTCGCCCGGCGCTTCGCAAGCGTTTTGACCTGGGCTCGTATCCTGGGTAGGGAGGATTGACTGGGCGCCAGTCCTTAACTGTAGCCTCTATTCACCCAGCAGTGAATGGGTACCTGGTTGTTAAACGATTTGGCGGGTCGTATTCCAGGGAAAATTAGGATTAAGGACCTGCCCGAAACGCTATGCGTGCTAGTGGCTGTTCAAGAATGTATGAACTCTTGTATATATACAAAATATATAAATTAATTGTTAGATTCATTTACAGGATGAATATACAGTACACAATAAAGCAGCCGAGCAACAATATAAATAAAAACTACCAAAAATGCTAAAGTTTATCACATCTTACTATCAAAAACTACCTATCAAATGCCTATCAAAAACTACCTATCAAATGCCTATCAAAAACCTATCTACCTATCAAAAACCTATCTATCAAAAACTAAAAACTCCCAAAAATTCTGAGGTTTATCACATCTTGCTATCAAAACGTTGAAGTTTAGCACATCTTCCTATAACAACGCTGAAGTTTAGCACATCTTGCTATAACAACGTTGAGGTTTAGCACATCTTACTAACAAAATGATCACTAACTATAGTTGGTGTACAAACGGTTCGCGGACACCATTAGTTGCTGTTCCCCCATTCTCTAAGATTCACACGTTCTTTATCTTATCAGGGGAGACTACTATAACTGAGGGTCTGGTTACATTGTTCCAACAAATATTCAGATATCAGGAACTTAATTGCTGCGTTGTGCATAGTTGTACTTTTCCACATTTGCAGTAAAGACCCTGTTGATCATAGTTTTGGGTTAATAAACTGATTTAAAAGAAATTACCAATAGAAGAGTAAGCGTTTCTGGGCGGTGTTGACGAATCGGTAGCCTCTCGCGTCCTCTTCTTTTGCGGACCGAAGTGCATCTTCATTCGGTCCGGAATTCGTTGTAGTACTTCTACATGGTTGAGGGCGAGCAACGAGGTCTGTCGAGGTACTAGGCTCAGGCAGGCTCAACCCCTCGTAACTATTGCCAGCACCTGACTTGCAACATTCCCTCACGCCTAGCGTAGATGCGGGTTCGTCCACAGTACGTTGAGTAATTGATTTTGTTGGGGCGTTAATGTCTTCCTCGTAATCAGAACTTGGATTTGATCGAGCAGCACCAGAGCTGTCGATCCTATCTTCATCAATCACCGATGTCGGCATCTTACTCAAGGTGGATCCCCCTCTCCCAGGGGGGATTTTTTAAATTGTTGTGCAGAAGTTCCTGGAATGCGCCGCGGCTTCCAATGTTTCACCGGGGCGAGATTGCTAATCCATTGAAGACGGTGGTGGCGAAGACTTGAGTTAACCCCAGCAGGGCTAACAGGAGCAGATTCACCTAGTGAACTTCTCTGACTCGCTTCACTCTCGTGCTCATCTCTCCACACTTCTGCACTTCCTTCTTTACGCCACTCCAGCTCCGGTTCGGGATCCGGCTGCTGTGATCCCGTCCCTTTTCATTAATGAGATTCTCAGGGCATCATAATCACTATGTTGATGATGTCCCAGGGTGTAGTAGATCTGAAGAGCCCATGCTGATCTTGACCAATTTGCGTCAATGGTCATGCGTTCAAATCGTCTGATGTGTGCATCAATCGAGTCGATTTGTTCCTCGAAGGGTTCCATCCATAGCATCTTGAATATCGTACCTCATTCGGGTTTTGTCTCCTGAACGATTCTTTGCCTGATGATCGTCCTGCCTTGCTTGCACATGCAAAGCATCGATGCGTTCTTCACTCTTCCTCTTTTCTTGGGCGTTCCACGTCTGTGACACGTAGGTTGCATTGGTGTTTCCCTCCAGGTTCATGAACACTGCTTTACTGGATATTTACTATTGCAAGTTCGTCTCGTGGTCTCGTTCCTGCATCTTGTGCTGATGCTGCCCGTTGTTGAAGGCTCCTCGAGTCTTCGCTGAGGGTAGAACTCGTTCGCCCGCGGAAAGTTTCCTTTAGAGAGCTGCACAAGTCCATTGACGTTCTCTCTCACCCTCGGGATGGAAGTTAGGCTTCATCTCTTCTCTCGACGATTCTGTCTACCTCCTCGTTGACTCTACCCCCTGTGGTGTTATCTGGGGTGACGTGTTATCAAGCACCGCGTCCGCACTACGAGCGCTCGTCTGCACCAGTTCACGGGAGACATCTCCCGTCACGCAGGGTGCAGTCCCACCTCCACAGATCTCCAGTATCATCTATTGATACTGGTAATGGCTCAAAAGGGCCACCACTTACGAGCTATTCGTGCCCGTGCCACCTTTTGGGTGGCTTAATCTTCATCAATCTGCATCAGTCATGGCACCAGTCATCAGCCTGGTGTTCGTGAATTTGTTCCTCACACCACTTCTCCTGTTCAATAAACCCTTGAACTATATGTTTAACACATCTCTCACCCTGTCCATGGAGGACAGAAGAAAATGTATATATACTGGTTAGCATTGTAAATGTGTGGCCACGTTTGTGGTAGAAAATAATAATAAAATCACTTCTCCATGAGTGCTAGGCTACATGAACTTCAAATTACTTAACCTTGAATGAAACACTTGCAGCAATCTTTGCACACAATGTGTACCTGAGCAAACAGTACCAAGTCTTTTCCGTCATACTTTAAGTACTACTTTCATTCTACTTTTACAAAATGCAAGTTGAAACTTAACTCTTGGGCCCTGTCTTAGCGTAACGAGTTAGGCGCTACATGTAATAGCTGAGTTGTGACAAAGGCTATCAATTGCACCTTGCACTTGACCCACATTGAGTTTTCTTAAAGTGCCAACAAGAGGATATCGATACGCCAGTAGCCGAGATAATGACACTTAGTAATGACCTCTTCCACTATATGGTCATCTTGCAACAGGGGTCGTCATCCTGCCCAAACGACGATCACTAAATGGTTGAAAGACGCTACGGAGATCATGCATCAAATTATTTGATTGATACAATGATGTGCAACAATATTACCCTTGAGATGGTGCCAAGAATTATTATGAGAACCAGGGAGTACCAGAAAAAGGGGTTCGCTTGAAAGCCTAACAAAATACTAGTTAAAGCCTAGCAAAATACTAGTTAAAGCCTAACAAAATACTAGTTTAAGTAACTGAAATAAACTAGTAAGAGGTGTATAATTCTTTAAAGGACTTGCACTGATATGTTTCTTACACTGAGCGTGATATTTTTAGTCCTAATATTTTTCTTTTACCTCCATTTTGCAGACCTTACAGTGTGCTCCTGTATCCTCGCCTGTAACAGCCATTATCCAATCCTTGAGAAATTGGTCTTGCAGTCACTCCAGTCAGAATTTTCAATGGTTCTGCTTAACTTTTGGCATATAAATCGTTATAAACTTTAAATGTGTTAATATCCAATACAATAAACGATGACAAAGCATAATTGTCAGTTTATATAAAAAAAATTTCACTGTATTCCATTACTCAAAAACACTTCCTGTTGCACAGTCACAGACGCCACTAAGTCACTGTGACTCAGTGACTGTTGCACAGTCACTGAGTCGCTGCACTGTCATAAGTCTGTACTATGTCTGTGTACTGTGATGTCAATTGCGTTATACAGAAAAAAAACAAGTCGACCAGTAAAAAATATATAGATGTGAATATGAGATTTGCAAATATCTGTTTTGGTACATATTTGGTAAAAAAAAATTTTGTAAAAAACATTCAAGATTCTCTTAAAATCACCTATATTCACATGTAACTTCTGAATAGCATTTTCTAACATTCAGACGTAATTAAAATCGTCTACATTTAGATGGTTTTAGTTATGCCAGAAAGATTAAAATAAAAAGAAATTGACAACACATTCTTCCTGTCCCCGACAATGGAAAAATTATTGACGAAGCGAGAAAAATTTTGGCATTTTCCTTGACCATGTAATTCACCTTTTTCCAAATGACTATTCCACCTTTCCTACTAAATAAAACCATTAATTTTAAACCCATGAATGAACTTGAAGCAGAGCATAATGCCTTAGGCCGGGATGATGCTATGCTCGTAGAGTACTCCACCTGCTAAACCTGAGTTTACCTGAGAGCCACTAACACTAGTGGCCTCGACGAGGACAGGAAGTAGGCGGCTTGTCGAAGGTTGTCCCCCCACCCCACATATACACTGAGACAAAAGCCTGTAAAAGCCTGGTTTGTGCCTCGGAGAGGCTACGGGATCCAGTAAGTTCAGTAGAACTTCGGTTTCAACCCTTTTCCCTGTCGTAGCTCAGTCGATTAAGGCAGTGTCTGGGATGCTCCCGGACGCAGGTTCGAATCCTCGTCACGGCCCTTGTGGATTTGTTCATTTACACTGAGAGTCTCCTACATTACTCCACCGCGGCTGCCGTAAGTACAACTGTCCTCATGACAAGAGACGGCTCGTATACATGTTATTGTTTCAGATTTAGCTACTCAGAACGAAATGTCCCTGTCGCACGGGCTATGGTGAGCCCGTGTTCTTGTACAATGTCAGGACTCCGTATAAATAACTTGTCTTCCACTCTTCACACGGGATTATCTGCCATATTCTTTACACTCAAACGTTTACATGAATCTAAAGTAATTTGAATTCGCACATTTTAACTCACCAGACATGAACTGTCTCGGCTAGAAAAGTCTCCCCCCCCCTCCCCCCAACACGGCACCACTATGTAATGGTACAAAACTGGAAATAAACACCACTTTTTAATGTTTATATATTTGTTTATATATTTATTTTGCCCCGGGGGGTAGCAATTTGTTTACATAAGCAGCAGCTTCGAATAATAAATATATTAAGTTACTAAAAGTTGGCAGAATTACATATACATATTATATATATAGATATAATCACTTAAGAAGTCCATGACATCACCAGGGTTCGAACCTGTATTACGTTGGCTCGCCGCATGGAGAACACAGTGCCATCACTACTTCACCGGCAATTCCCTAAAAAAATAGCTGGTGACGTGGTTACGGTACTGTGTACACCAGGGGGTCGAGACCTGGAAATGCGGGTTCGAAACCCTGGTAAAAGGAGAATGAAGCACTCTCACTGTCAGGGGCGCAGGGAGACGGGGTCCGAGTGAGAGCCCTTGTGTACGACTCTCACATATGGCAATGTTGGGGGGATTTATACGGAACGTTCGCAGATGACGGGCTTCTCGTGGTGGCAGGCAACGTCGTGCCATGCGACGCCATCCTTGTAGAAGTTGTTGAGGATGGCGAGGCAGTTCTCCTTACCACTCTCACGGTTGTCGGGCTGAGGTCGGCGGAGTCTGCAACATGCACCATTCTTCATTATTTAACCCTTCCTTATTCATTATATTGGTTATACTAACATGTTGCAGAAGCTGAGGGAGTATATTTCAGTGAAACAGTATGCTGCAATGCACAGAAATGGAAGGTGTGATGCGTGCGTGTGTACTCGCCTACTTGTGCCTGCAGGATCGAGCATTAACTCTTGGATCCAGAATGTGTGTGCATGTGTGTGTGTGTGTGTGTGTACACAACTCACCCTCCGGTGTTGGACCAGGCAGTAATACCAAAAGGTTCTCCGTTGAACCACCTGAAGCCGGAGCCGGCCCTCACCCCGCCGGTCCAGATGTAGTCCAGCCGCTCTGTTCACACAAAACACAAAAGTTAGAGAGACGAACATTAGCGACGATTGTACTAGTGGAAGGATGGATATATTTCAGAATAATTGTATTAAATTTACGATTCGAAGGACGATTTTCATGCCTCAGCTTAAGCATAATAACGGGAAAATGACAGCTGTGGCCATATACAGGGTAAATGTCATCAGAGCAAGGGAGTATAAGGGTAAAGTAACAACAGCTAACCTCTGACAATAATGCCATGGATGTAGTTGAGCTCGTCACGAGAGCTGATGGCCACAGGCTGCCACCCGCCGCCCAGACTTGTACACATCCTGTGAGCAGCGTCGCCTGTGTACTCTGTCTTGGGCGGGTCGTGTCTCCAGGAGAAGTAGTACTCACTCCCGCCGCGAGTGTCGTCAGGCTGTAACACCGTCACATTCATCTTAACATTACATTTAAACAATTTCTTAGGCTTGGTTTTCAAAAATAAAGTTTGAAGAACGTTGTATGATGGTATAAATCTCAGGTTAATGTAAGGAGGTAGAGATAGGGGCAATAAACTTAAGGGAGAGTGTTTTGGTAGAAAGCTTACCTTGGCGCCCAAACTCTGAGTTCCAGGTCGACTTTGAGAGAAGCTCTTACTGCTTGTCCTCTTCGGCTGGCCTCCGAAGCCCGGCCTCCGAGGCGGGAACTGGCAGGCCGCCAGCCCGACCACAGTCAACAACAATATGAACTTCATCTGGAAAATAAAGTTAGTGTGGTAATACTCGTCTCACTCCTCCAGCTTCTGGAGTATAATTTTCTGTGGGGAAAACTGATTGTAATATTACCTTTCGTCAGTTGTTTCTGGTCGTTTACGAGTTAATGTTTTGTTATTATCTGAACAATGTTCAAGTTATTGTAAATTATTGTGTGCTGCACCGGGGTGTAGGCCTATTGAGGTCGTAGGCGCCAACAATTAATAATTCATAAATAATTTATATTTGTATATTCGGAAACAGAATAATTTAAAGTTCACACTGACTCAGAGTGTCATCAGTTGCTGGGTAGTTTAGACTTTCCGTTGGGTGCTTATAATACCAGTCACATGAGATGAGTTTACAGTCTTAGAGGGTTTACAGTCAGGAGTTGCTGAGTACTTGAGTATACATGACACCTTTACACCCGAGGCCTCAACACACGCAGTTTAATGAAGGAATTATGAGCTTCGGTAATGGTAGGCGAGTTACCATTAGTGTGAGAGTGACACACTGAGGAGCTGTAGTGTGAGAGAGACACTCTGGGGAGCTATACGAGTGTGAGAGACTGACACACACTAGGGAAGTGCAGTGTGAGGAGGCCGCTGGTGGTGCTCCAGTTACCCTCCAACACCTACCTTGACAGGAGTGGAAGTGTCTGGACGTGTGGCGGCAGCGGCCTTATATAGGCCTACCTGCTCTCTAATGGGAAGGTCAAGGACACTTCCGGACTCCTCCATCCCGCTCTGCCCAGCAACTGACCTCCCTCACTCTTGTTCCGGGATCACCAATATTGGATTTCAGTATTTCACGTGTTTCTTGCCCAATGGAAAGTTAGCGCGTTCACACCAACAATATTCAAAAGTCAGCGCGTTCACAGAAACGATATTTAAATTTAGCGGGTTCACAGAAACAATTTTCAAAAATCAGCGCGTTCACAGGAACGATATTCAACCGTTAGCGGCTTCACATAAACAATAATAAAAGTTAGCAGGTTCACACAAACAGTACGAGTGAAGGTATAGATGATACCATTTATATATTTTCATTACACAGTATACTGTAAAACTTAAAAGAGTATTTGACCGGAGTGAATGAATACACATATACATATAGAGTCGCAGGAGCTTACACATATATTAAAAGAGTCGCAGTAGCTGTAATTTATTCACTCTGCTTGATTTTAAGCACTTAAGACCTGGGGTTTTAAGTCATTAGGTCTTCAGACCCTTGTGAATTTATGTACGTTTATTGAGACAATGAAATACGTCTCAAAGGGATAGAGTAGCTTAGGCTATTTCTATCCCCCACCCTTGTGAGGTAGATCCTGTGCTTTTCTACTCATGTACTGAGTATACTAGTACATGAGTACATCATACTCATGTACTGTACATATGTAGTCAATTTGTTTCTACGAACGAGCTTGGTTGAATGCTTCATAGATCTGCAGCCCGACATTTGGGCCAGTGTTTAACCCTATATTTTGTTAAATTTATATCGCATTAGGCTATCAATATTCCTCGTCTGACATCTGACCTTTGAGACTGAAATATGAAGACAATTCCGCGTCTTCCCCTTGACCCAGATCACGATTGTACCATCCCGTTCCTCACTCTAGTCTAGTGGTCACTATAATCTATTGGTCAATATAGTCAAGGGGGTAACCATGGTTGAATGGACACTACACTCTAGTGGTCACTATATTATGGTTGTGGCTTTATCATATCAATCTCCTTTTTTGTGGTCACTATACTCATTAGCTTTATCCTGTCGGTCACCTTTTTTTTCTGTTGCTTACCTATTAGTGACTACAGGGGAATGAGCTCTAGCTCTACATCACCGCCTTCTAGCCATTTATAACTGGTCCGGTGGTTAACACTCTTGGCCATCTTATTCTGGTGGTCGCTTAATCCTGAAGGTCGCCTTAGTGTCACAATGCTCTTGGTCACTAACCTGTTTATCACCTCATTCTAGCTGGTCACTATATTGTGTTGGAACTTTCTCCTGTTTGTCACTATGTTCCGGTGGTAATTCGCTAGTGATGTCCGATTTATCCTAATTGTCCAGTGACAAGCGCTCGGTTTTTCGTAGTCGTAAGGTTACGGGTTCGATTCTCGGCGGAGGCGGAAACAAATGGGCAGTTTCTTTCACCCTGATGCCCTGTTCATCTAGCAGTAAATAGGTACCTGGGAGTTAGACAGCTGCTAGGGGCTGCTTCCTGTGGATGCGTAACAAAAATGAGGCCTGGTCAAGGACCGGGCCGCGGGGACGCTAAGCCCCGAAATCATCCCAAGATAATCTCTCAAGATACTATGAACACATCTGGACTGGTACATAAGCCGTGTGTGTGTGTGTGTGTGTGTGTGTGTGTGTGTGTGTGTGTGTGTGTGTGTGTGTGTGTGTGTGTGTGTGTGTGTGTGTGTGAGAGAGAGAGAGAGAGAGAGAGAGAGAGAGAGAGAGAGAGAGAGAGAGAGAGAGAGAGAGAGAGAGAGAGAGAGAGAGAGAGAGAGAGAGAGGCAGAGAGAGAGAGAGAGAGAGAGGCAGAGAGAGAGAGAGAGAGGCAGAGAGAGAAGCAGAGAGAGGCAGAGAGAGAGACAGACAGACAGACAGAGGCAGAGAGAGAAGCTGTACGTCACCTTATTCTAGCAATGATAAATACGATGTACAATGATAAATATACGATGATAAATGCGATGATGATACGATGGTATGATGCTATGATAGTACGATGATAAATCCTTTACATTAAGAGCATTGTGGTCTTGGATTCTGTCTATAGAGACCATTTGCGAAGATAACAAGGAATTACACAGGGGAGCGCAAGGGTGGTATCATCGATAGCCAACGAAAAGTGACTGGGCGGGGGCGAGGCTAACATGGGGGAGGGAGCTCTGCGATTTGTTGAAACGTCACTCCAGCGTAAGAGACGACTGGAGGAGGTTGTGTGTTAGTGTCCGTTGACTATTTCCGCTGGATTTTTTTCCACAGCGATTGATGGGAAGGCCCATGGACTGTTCAAGGAGAAGAGGCAGGTCAGCAAGAGTGTAAAAAGGGTCTCTTCTGTTTGATAGTAGGTGCAGTTTGCATGAAGGGTTTATCCTCCCGATGACTGCTAAAAAGGGTCCACACGGGAGACATCTCCCGTCACGCAGGGTGCAGTCGCACCTCCACAGATCTCCAGTATCATCTATTGATACTGGTAATGGCTCAAAAGGGCCACCACTTACGGGCTATTCGTGCCCATGCCACCTTTTGGATGGCTTAATCTTCATCAATCTAAAAAGGGTCACTCTACTTTCGTACACACACGGGAGACATCTCCCGTCACGCAGGGTGCAGTCGCACCTCCATAGATCTCCAGTATCAGCTCTTGATACTGGTATTGGCTCAAATGGGCCACCACTTACGGGCTATTCATGCCCGTGCCACCTTTTAGGTGGCTTAATCTTTATCAATCATCAATCTTTCGTACACACTAGGGAAACGTTGAGCGCTGAGGAGGCTTATGGCAAGGTTGGCATTGTAACTCAAAACTGTCCTCAGGGAGGTAATCCACTCACGGTAATGGATTTACAACGATTACATAATTAAGTGCTATTATCTACTCTTTACCCATGGTTAGGTTAAGGTTACTTAAGGTTAAGGTTTGGTAATATGATATAATGTTGGCCGAAACGTGAAATATATAATTCTAAAACTATTTCAGTGTACCTTGAATTTCGTTTACAGAAAACTAAATTCTTCAGTGTTTAAAACAAAACTTGTTAAGCATATACTTTTATATTTTAAACTAACGATTTATAATATAATAAATATATAACTTGAGAATAATCTCTATCTAGGACAAAGGTCCACTAACCAGTAGACAAGTAGACTATTACTGGAACCGTAATATGCTTTCAGACCATCACCAATATCAGATAACTATACCAGGTGGTTTAACAGGGCGGTTTGTTGCTCTGACGGGCTTTTGTCGCAGGAGGAAGAGTTTTGAGACTCACAGAAGGTCTTCGCTCCTGAGGAAAGATGCGATTGAAGTGTAACTAGAAGAGGACACCTGTACTTCAGGGGCCAGATTCACGAAAGCACTTGCAAACGTATACATCTTTCCTCAATCTTTGAAGGCTTTGGTTAAATTTATTAAACAGTTTACAAGCATGAAAACTTCCCATTTAACTGTCTTTATTGTTATAAACAGCCTCCTGGTGCTTCGGAGCTCATTAACTGTTTAATAATTGGAAACAAAGCCGCCAAAGATTGAGAAAAGATGTACACGTTCGTAAGTGTTTGCGGAAGTGCTTTCGTGAATCTGGCCCCAGACCTGCACGTTGAGCCAAACGTGTGGGGTCTCGAGCACAATCAACCGACACAGGTTCACAATACTAACCCAGTCACACCCACAGACTACCGGACGAGCTCAAAGACGTAACCTGGCCCCCTGCTCCCCGTCCTGAAGCGAACTATCAGGGGATAAAGTGCCAAGCCATGACGACTATGTAGCACTGGGAAGAGATCAGGATAAGGATTTGGGATGGGACAGGGGGAAAGGAATGGTACCCAACCACTTGGACGGTCGGGGATTGAACGCCGACCTGCATGAAGCTAGACCGTCGCTCTACCGTTCAGTCCAAGTGATTGGACTCCCCGTCCTGAAGTACAGCACACTGCCAAGCACTACCTCAGTGCGCCGAGATCACCCACATTCGTCAGACCACGCTGCCTGGCCCCAGAATGATTGACGGACACCCAAGCTGAATTCAACAGGCTACAGAAGGCGGGAATAATCCGGCGATCAAACAGTCCATGGGGCCTCACCTCTCTATGGTTCACAAACCAGCTCCAGGGAAGTAGTGCCCATGTGGGGACTACAGATCCCTCAGCACTCACACCCTACCGGACCTCTACCAAGTAACGCATATCCAAGACGATATGCGATTCTCAGAATATACACATATTCTATGGATTGGTCAACTCCTCTATTTTGTTCAAACATTGACCTGAACCGGGAATTTCACTAGATTCCAGTGG